GAGACCCTTCCATACAGAACTGGCCTATTAAGCTGCTTCCCTGTCGCCAACATTGAGGTGGCTGTCACCAGCTAGCCTGAAAAATGGTATTTATAGATCACAGTCCCTCCTACCCCTGGTCCCCATCATCTCCCTGAGCACTCATCAGACAGTTCCAATTATCTGTGAACGGAGAAGAGAGACCCCAGAAGGTTCAGAGGAAGCAAGGCAAGTGATAATAGGTTCTTACATGCTCAGACTTTCTGTTATTTCCCCATTCTTTCCATTTGTTTCTCTCCTTATGGCTACTCCTTCTTTGTTCTCCTTGTTGCTTTAATACCATATTATGGTGTATAGCACCCAGTGTACCTATACTAGAGGTCTAAAAGTTGGTATTGGAATGGTATGTTACCTCATTTTCAAGCTCCCATTATCTTCTGCCACACTATGATGGTGACATGTGACACTCAGGGGAAGAGTGTACATGAACACTTCCTATCACCATCCGTGACACACAGTAGTACCTACTACTGGCACAGCATGAAATCCCTCCTCTGGCTTGGAGTTCCACCTCCAATGGCAGTTTTATTACTCAGATCACTAGGTGGAGAAGATATAGGACATTATCTTGATTAGGTTGATTTACTGTTTGAAGTTGCGTGTATTAAAAAAGTGTGTATACACATGTGCACACATGCACAAACATACCACACACACAGAAAGAGAGAGAGAGAGAGAGAGAGAGAGAGAGAGAGAGAGAGAGAGAGAGAGAGAGAGAAAATGGACTGGGCTTTCTTTTCAGGTTTTAATCTTCTCAAAATGAAGTATTTAAAAGCAACAGGATGCTCACCGACCTTCTGGACCAACAGTCACTGCAATCACTCTTTCTGATGCACCCACTCTTGTATAAAAGAAAGGGGATGAATCAATAATCCATGTCCCAGCCTAGACTCTCTGCTGTCTACATTCTCTGAATCTTGTAACTGATGGTAAATGAACCTGTGCACTCTGATTGTGCCGTATATTCTGCCCAGTAGCTCCCACGTACCCTTCCCCAACATGAAGTCCTTTCTCCCCTCTGTCAGGGCCCTTTCCCCTCTGCTTCCTCTTCCCTGGGCCTTGCCCTCCTTCACACCACTTCCCTTCTGGGTCCTGGTGCTGTGTCATTAATGCCCCCTTTGATAGAGCCCACAACCTCATGATTATTCCAAGCTCAGGAGACGCAGGTGCCATGCAGCCTGCTAATGTGTCTCAGAGGGCCTCTGTCCCCAATCCCTCCTCCCTGACAAGGCTGGAATCCTAATTCCCCAGCAGCCCCCTTGCTTGTAGCAGCATCACCAGGAACTTTCATCTTTTTATTTTCCTCACCGAGGATTCTGAGAGTTCCACCACAATGAAGCATTGATAGGAGGAGCGGGGGCTGTGATCCCTACAAAGGGTCCCAAAGATGAGACACGAGAAAGGGGGCGCTCTACGGGGTTATAGAATGCCTTGCAGATGGGAACAGAGGCGATCTAAATGGGGTACTGTGCTGTCACTTGGAGAGGGAGTGACAGGGGCAAGTGTGGGCCATTTGAAAGAGGCATTTTGTCAGATGTAACCACGCAATCGCAGCCGCGTGGAGAGCCCCTGCAGCTCGCAAAAAATATCAGATGACTCATACGCCAATATTCAGTCAATGTTCTGATTTGGGAAGTGAGAGCCACACAGCTCATTATGATTCTTGCTTCGTTTCCTGAAAGCTGGGCCTGCTGCTCTCCAGGCTGTAATAGGATTGGTCTCATGAAGCAAAGACCAGAGAGGCCTGCGGCTGTGTGGGCGGATGGTATGGAAAACTAATACTGCGCTCTTGAGGGAAAGGGAGAAGTTTGTTTTCTTTCTTCTTTTATTTCTTTTCGTTAATAAAACACAAGAAGAAAAATATTAATATTCTTTGTTCGTTCATTCAGCAAACATTTGTAAAGCTATCTATATTGTGTGCTAGTTGCTGGGGGAAGATGGGTCCTACCTGCCAAACCTGAGGAGCTGGAGGAGAAAGGAGAAAAATGAGGCAGAGTATAAGTGCAATACCTTGGGGTGTTGTGAGGGAGGTTTCATTACCAGGTGGGGATGGTTCTGTGGATTAAATAGGTAGACAGTTTCAGGAAGCTAATTATTCCACCATTTTTCTCAGCCGATAAGCAACTTCTTTAAAGCCTAAGTCAGTCTGGCAGCCATTTCAACAGTATCCATTTTCAAATGACTGTAACAAAATGGCTTCCTTTAGACTTCAGAGCATCCCAGAGAGTGCCTCAGGACCTTCAAAAGAAGAATTATTCTCTGAGATATGAGCACTGTGTATTATTACTTTTTTTTGTAATTGCTGTATGCTAGACTTTTCTCAGCACTTTAAATATATCATCTGAGCAATCCTCATAGAAGACTCTCGAGACAGACTTTATTATCCTCATTTTAGCCAAGAAGGGCAAGGATTCAAGAGATGCAATGACTCAGTCCTAGGATAGATTTCATTTTTTTGTTTTTTTTTTTTTCTTTTTTTTTTTTTTTTTTTTTTTTTTTTTTTCACCCCCCCCCCCCCCCCCCCCCGGCTTCAGTTTTGCTTGAACCAACAACATCCAAGCTCTTCAGCTTTAGTTTCTACTGTCTCCCCAATGACATGGAGGTTTCTGATTTGGTGATTGTAAGTCAGAACTACCAGTGATAGGGCAGACAGTTTGCTTACATATTCCAGCACAGGATGCTGGATTCGGATGAGTGTCTCTTTACAGCTTCATAGCACTGGAAGATAGGAAATATGGACTTCATCATCACTACTGTCACAGCCCTTTCATGTAGTCTTAAGAAAGGATTTTAATTTTTCCCTTTAAATTTTGGATTGACAGATATTGCCCAAAGCAAAGTGAATGTGTCTAGAGACTTCCCCTCTCACTGGTCATATGATTTTAAGTCTATCATTTAGCCTTGCAGCTTCTGTGGTCATGCTTGTAAAACAAACGGACAATTCCTTTGCAAAAAAATCAAGAGCTGTGTTTTGTTGAACACTTAATGCCTACCAAATTCAAAGCTAGATTTTACATTAAAAATATCATGTAAGCCGGGTGGTGGTGGCGCACACCTTTAATCCCAGCACTCGGGAGGCAGAGGCAGGCGGATCTCTGGGAGTTCGAGGCCAGCCTGATCTACAAGAGCTAGTTCCAGGACAGGCACCAAAGCTACAGAGAAACCCTGTCTCGAAAAAACCAAAAAAAAAAAAAAAAAAAAAAAAAAAAAACATGTGACTTACTCTCCTCCCTTCCTTCCCTTCTCCCCTTCTACCTTGTCCCGTGACCCCCACACTCACAATTTACTCAGGAGATCTTGTCTTTTTCCAGTTCCCATGTAGATTATATCTGTGTAGGTTTCTCAGGGTCCTCATTGTTGTCCAGGTTCTCTGGGATTGTGAATTGTAGGCTGATTTCTCTTTGCTTTATGCCTAAAATCCAGTTATGAGTGAGTACATAATATATTTGTCTTTCAAAGTCTGGGCTACTTCACTCAAGGTGTTTTTTTTTTCCAGATTTATTCATTTGATTGAAAATTTCAAGATGTCATTTTTTACCCCTGAGTAGTACTCCATTGTGTCAATGTACCACATTTTCTTTATCCATTCTTCGGTTGAGGGACATCTAGATTGTTTCCAGGTTTTAGGTATTATTAACAATGCTGCTACAAAAATAGTTGAGCACATGTCCTTGTGTTATGATTGAGCATCCTTTGGATATATACCCAAAAGTAGTTTTAATGGGTCCTGAGGTAGATTGTTTCCTAATTTTCTGAGAAATTGACATACTGATTTCCAAAGTAGCTGTACAAGTTTGCTCTCCCGTTAGCAATGGAGAAGTGTTCCCCTTACCTCACATCCTCTCCTGCATAAGTTGTCGTCAGGGTTTTTGATCTTGGTCACTATGACAGATGTAAGATGGAATCTCATGTAATCTTTATAACAGCCCTGTGTGGTAGAAGTGAGTGGGAAGGCTAAAGAAACTGCCACCTCTGTTCAAGTATAGAGGAGCCAAAATTTCATGAAATCTCTGGTGATACTTGAATCTCAAGTCATTGGGTGTTATTGGTAGGTACAAGTGAGAAGCTGGGAGTAAAAATGCCCTGTGCAGGATAAAGACTGCTAGGCAGATATATAGAACTATTCATAACATGAAAGACAGCCAAGAGATGACTTCCATAGGAATTAAAATAAAAAAATGAGAGGCCTCTGTACTGACTGCCTTGCTTATTTTTTTATGTATTCTTACGCTACTTCTCATTGGCTCACAGATCTGTCATCATTGATATATATATATATATATATTATCATTCACAGAGTGAGAAAGCAGTAATAAGGAGATCTAGAGATACAGTTTGCATAGAAATGCCTTACAATTAAGAATTTAGAACTCTGGACACCCGAGGTACATATACCTTTATTGCATGTTATGAAAAGCCACTGTGAGAATCATGCCAGGTGATTTGTATGTTTGTATGGAAGCACTCATGAATTCTGGAATATGATGCAATTAAGCTTTTTCATGTTGTTGCTAGCAGGGTTGGGTATCGCATAACCTCATTAAAGAAAGGCGGGGAGAGTACTATATCCTCTGATGCTTACATAAAAAAATAATGACCCTCAAATCTTTCCAATGGATTTTTTGTTCATGATTTGTTTTCATCCAGAAAGTGTTTTCATGTTTAGACACTACATTTCCTAAACCAAATTTCTCAGTGTCTATTGTATAGTGCAATGTACAGAAGTGGCTGGAGACCCCAAATTTAGTCTAACTCCTCTTCTTTAAAGATGTCCACAGAGAATGTTAGAGAGGCAAAGTACAAAGTGATACAACTGCTTTCTGGCAGTATGCAGAATAGCAATGTATTTATTAATCACTCTAATCCCCTTACTTATTCGTTGGGAGGCTCCAACTTGCATGGTCAGTTGTGTAACCCCATTCATTATTGTTAACATTTTTCATTTTCCTTCTTTTTCACAGGACAATTCAGCAGTGGCTTGCACGGGTACAGTCACTTCTCTACTGCAATGAGAATGGCTTCTGGGGAACCTTCCTGGAGAGCCAGAGGAGTTGTGTGTGCCATGGCAGTACCACACTGTGCCAGCGCCCCATCCCATGCATCATAGGTGGGAACAACAGCTGTGCCATGTGCAGCCTGGCAAACATCTCACTCTGTGGCTCCTGCAATAAGGGCTACAAGCTATACAGAGGCCGCTGCGAACCACAGAATGTGGATTCTGAGAGGAGCGAGCAGTTCATTAGCTTTGAGACCGACCTGGACTTCCAGGACTTGGAATTGAAGTACCTGTTGCAGAAGATGGACTCACGCCTCTATGTTCACACTACCTTCATCAGCAATGAGATTCGCCTTGATACATTTTTTGACCCTCGGTGGCGCAAGCGCATGTCCCTCACTCTCAAGAGCAACAAGAACCGCATGGACTTCATCCACATGGTGATTGGCATGTCCATGCGTATCTGTCAGATGCGCAACAGCAGCCTGGACCCCATGTTCTTTGTCTATGTCAATCCTTTCAGCGGCAGCCATTCAGAGGGCTGGAACATGCCCTTTGGGGAATTTGGCTACCCACGTTGGGAGAAGATCCGTCTGCAAAACAGCCAATGCTACAACTGGACTCTCTTGCTGGGCAATCGGTGGAAAACTTTTTTTGAGACTGTCCATATTTACCTGCGTAGTCGGACTCGGCTACCTACCCTACGTAATGAGACCGGCCAGGGCCCCGTGGACCTGTCGGATCCCTCCAAGAGGCAATTCTACATTAAGATATCCGACGTGCAGGTGTTCGGGTACAGCCTGAGGTTCAATGCTGACCTCCTTCGAAGTGCCGTGCAACAAGTGAATCAGTCCTACACACAGGGTGGTCAATTCTATTCCTCTTCATCTGTGATGCTCCTCATGTTGGACATCCGGGACCGAATAAATCGTCTGGCTCCTCCAGTGGCTCCAGGAAAGCCCCAGCTGGACTTGTTTTCCTGTATGCTGAAGCACCGCCTGAAGCTAACTAACAGTGAGATTATCAGGGTGAACCATGCCTTGGACCTCTACAACACTGAGATCCTCAAACAGTCCGACCAGATGACAGCCAAACTCTGCTAACTGGTGACCCTTCGTCGTGGACTTTCCCTTCTGTTGTGTGTACAACAGAAACAAATCAAAACAAAATAAAACACACACACACACAATTTGTAAAATGTAATTAATATTCAAAAGAAAGGAGGAAAAAATCTTCAATTGTTGGAAACGGAAGTATTCTAGCAACTGTATAAAACTGTGGGGGCATGTCTGTTACTACTATATTCTGTCATAAAGAAGGGTCTCAGACTTTTGTGGAGCTTGGAGATGGTGGCTTCTTGGGCCTCAGGTGCTGTGTGGAGGGGGGGGAGAAGGGAAGAGCATATGCAATGAATTGTAAAGACCTCTGCTGTGCAGGTGCTAAGATTAAACACTAAAAGAGAAAGAAAGAGATCTATGTAATGTACCTCTGACACTGCCATTTTTCCTTGTGAGAGGAAATGGACGTAGATAAAGAAGATATTTCTTCTGTTAAGAGTTTTTTCCTCTTTATGCTTAATTCTTTGTGTTTCTTTTGATGCTTTGATGTGGTTGGGGGTTGCAAGAGCATTGCAGTCTTACAAAGTCTATATGGCTTCTTTACTTCTAAATAAACGGAAGCTAATGGAAGCTAGCTACTAGGTGGGGCTGGGAGAACAGGAACTGGCACAGTTCTAGAAGAGTGAATAACCTTAGATACTAGCCTTTCAAACCAAATAGTTCAGAAATTAGGGCCAAAGGGAGGTAGCATTCTCATGAATACACCCATCATAACTGCCCCAACCTGGGTTTGAATCTGACCTTCTGGTTCACTAGGCAGCACCACTTCTTTCTAAGTACTCTGAACACTGGCTTTATGCTGTAAATGTTTTTACTAAAGGGAAAAAGATTTCTCTATCCAAGATTGTGTTTGATAGTTGTTTTGCTTGCATAGAGAAACATTTTTCCACCACTTTCTCTAAAAAGAGATATAGTATCATATTGTTCAGAAATGTTTTCCCTATTTAGGATGGTTTTAATTTGACTATAGCCAGTGACCAAGTAATAACACTAACAATAATAATATTAATGATAATGTAAATTTTAGTGTTGTATTAGATTATGAAAGGCTCCTATAATACTTTTTAATTACTGTTGGAATAACTTTAATACTTATGAGTACATGCATCACCCTCCTGACACACATGTATGCTCAGTAGAAACACTGTCACTTCTCGGGCGCGACTTGGGTTGAGTAGAATGAGAAACACAAAAATGCATGCTCTTCTCAAAACACTTCTGCGGAAGATTTATGCAGACCTTGCTTAGTAACCTTAGGAGATCAGCATTTGCTTTTTCACTAGGTGGTATCTGGGAGAGGCACTTGTTTGCAATCTAGATAGTCATTTGTGCATTGGGAGTGAAATACAGAATCGTGAAAGTATGCAGTTGAGAATAGAAGCGTTCTGGTCTAAGTCATCACTGTTCACTGCTTGCTTGTCTAGACAGGAAACTGCTTAGTTCTGTTTTCTACTTTCCTTGACTGCTGCTTTCACCAAAGGGAGGCAATAATTTTCATTTCAGCTTATGTTACAAAAACTACCTAATAATTAGATATCACTTCATACTTTGCACATCCCTCAAACCAGCACGTGCTGGCTTTAGTTCTATTACGTGCATTTGTCTTTCATGATGTTTTCTCCACAGTCTAGATGTTACTAGTACACCATAGGAATCCCATTATTGATACCTTAAAGTGAAAAATGGGGGCGTCAGTGTACAAAAGAAAAAGTTCCTGACTTTTTAAAGCGAGGCTGAGGGGCGAAAGATTATTTTTTCCTAAAACTGTAAATTAAAATTTAAATATTCTAATTTTTGGTTTGAATTAGCATACATTTACATTTTGTGCTGACTAAAACATGCATAGGTTTTTAGATTTCAGCTTTTGAAATCTTCAGTATTCATTTAGTTTGGAAATCCTTTATGTAAGGAATCACATTACCAAATATCCCCAGAGCATAAGCAGATGAGGAACTCATCAAACAATGTCGAAGTGTCTAGTAAATGGGTGGAGAATGTCAGAAATACAAATATTGAGAGAAAATGGTCCATGGTTTGTGCCATTTAAATAGTAATTAAGAAGACATACATGTAAACCAATGTTTAAATATATATTTAAATATATATTATATATACTATTTATTATATATAAATATTCAGGACACATACACACATATATCACCAAGATGAGAGTCATTATAGAGGTGGGCATAGGGAGAAGATCCTGAGGAAGCTATAATATGCTTGGCAGTTTGAGAAGGACTCTTAGAAGGGATAGGTTCATTGTCAACGTTGAAAAAGGATTAGAATTTAGACAAGTAGAAGAAACGTGATGACCAAAGAAAGGGTGAAAACAAAAATACAAATATATAAATTCAACTTCTAGAAACCATTTAGGGACTAGCCAAAACAACTTTTAAAGGTATCATTGTTGAATGAATATATTATCTAGAGGAGTGAGAAGGCTGGATCTTTAGGAGAAATAGAAACAGCCATCCACAATGTTCATGACTGAAACAATTTTTCAGACAGATTACATTCCATTCATTTTCTTTTTTCACTTATCTCCAACTTCCAAAGACTTCCCTCTAACTTCTAACTGAAGTCTCCTTGCAAGGTGAAGCCCTTGGAAGATTGCTAGGTAGTCCTCATCTTCACAACAGTGCTGTCTCATACTTATCAAAATGACATAAGGACCTTCAATCTGAAGTCCTTATCAGTCTTTACCAATGTTATGTGTAGGAAAAGCCACTCCCCCTTCACCTTGAAAATAATGAGTCAGTCATTTCATCTTTGAGATACGCATAATGCATGTTGAGAAATTATGGAAATATAGAAACTTTCAAGAAGAAAAACTAAATAAATAGGATATAGTATATATATATAGTCTATATATAGT